ACTGCATAGTTGTCAAAAACAGTTGGTACATATTCAGATGGAAATTTGTTTGTTGTATAGGATATCAGGAGACATGTTTTACCAACAGCACCGTCGCCCACAACAACGCACTTAATTGTCTGCATTGTGGAAATAGTTTAAATATTTCAAATTTGACGTTGACCTCAGCTCCTTCACCCGGGCCTCTAGAATATTTCTGACATCCCAAAAGTTCTATCATTTCCTTCCTGGTCATTCCTCCTTCCTCAGAACAGTCTTTGATTTCTATAAATTAGATTTCTCTCTTGTAGAACTTAATAGAAATGGATTGTCAGACTGTGGAGTTATATGTTCAGTATTAGATGCCTGTTCAGCATGTGCCAGGCTCTGGGTTTAATCCCCAGCATTGTGAAAAGAAGGCAGGTGGAGAAGAGGGAGGATGGGAGAGAAAGATGGAAGGAAAGAAATGAAATGTTAGCCCATTTCTCCACCCCTAACAGACATAGTTTTGGAGTCCCATGTATTCCCATATGAATCCATCTCCCAAATATTTCTCCCCATCTCTCAGCCTTAACCCTTTCCCAATTTGTATATTTCTGATAACATTCCTAGTCTGTGGAGATGTAGTATCTTGGCTTTAGCACCGCTACATTTTTATTTATTTATTTTTACAGAGAGGGAAGGATTCTTTTTTAAAAAATTTATCTACATACCAGGAAGATAGCTCCAGGAAGTGGCATAAGCACCTGCCTGGAAAGCACAAGGTCCTTAGTTCAATCCCCAGTACCAAAATTTAAGAAAAAAAAAAATTTTACCCAGAGGTACTGTTCAGATTAATAAATGTTCAAGTTTTGCCTTGTTTGCTTTAGTTTTGTTTGTTTGTTTGTTTGTCTTTGGTCTTTTCAAGACAGGGTCTCACTATGCAGTTCAGGCTGGCCTTAATTAAGCTCACTCACTTTGTAGCTCAGACTAGTCTCAAACTTGCAGTGATCCTCCTGCCTCAGCCTTCCAGGTTCTGGGATGTGCCCAGATGTTTCATATCTTCTCTCTCTCTCTCTCTCTCTCTCTCTCTCTCTCTCTCTCTCCTTAAGACAGTACATCTTAATGAATAGAGGGATTTGTTCTAATAGTGTTTGTAAATAGGATATCATGTCCGCATCTTGTACAGCAATCAACCACTAGGAAGAATATATGCAATGTGTTAATTATTGAAACTGTCCTACCAATTTGGTTTGAAACTGTCTCATTGCTATTTGTTTCTCAATAAAATTATGGGAAAAAAATAAATAAAATTAATGACATTAGATTGCATTTTTTTGGTTTTTTAAATTTTTGTTATGCATTTATCTTTTGAAAACACCATTTGGACAATTTTTTTTAAAAAAGATAGTACAAATCGGAAATAAAACAGAAAAAATTGTGAAACAATTTCATTTAACAAAGTAATATGAATTTTACACTATTTGTTGTATTATATAGTGTCTTCCAACCAGTTATTCATATTACTAGATATATGCATATAATTCAAGTATCTTTAAAAGAAAGAAAAATGATGTTTACAGTTTAAACTAAGTTCTCTTTTACCAGAATTAGTCACTGTCCTGAAGTCCATGAGTTTATTCCCACATATACTGTATACTTTAATATTTAAATATATTATATTTTAAGCTTTCATATAAACTTACATATCTGTCAACACATTTTCATTTAACATTTTTAGAGTTAACCATGTTGGTGCATATGGATGTAATTTATTTGTGTCACATTCTTGTATGAAATTTATTTAGCCATTCCTTTACTGGTGTCTAACAAAGTCATTTCTAGTTGAGACTATTCTATATGCTTCTGTAGTAAACCTCCTTATCATACTTTGTTTCTTATGCATATTTCCTGGAGAACATGCACAAGATTGTGATCTACATACCTGAAGTAGAGTTGCTCAACCATAAGGATTACTCTCCCGAATGTCTTTTTTTGTGTTTGTGCATCGCTAGCTCATATTCTTAGCCCATGTTAGTATCTGGATGTGAGTTCTGTACCAGAATTTTGCCTCTTTACTATAATTGAAATTTTTATTGCCATATGTTTTGAGTTTGTGTTTTCTTAAAGTATGTTTTCACCATAAGCTTGAAGGGCTACTTTGACCAGATACATGGGAAGCGTTTTAATCCTTTGTCACTACGAACATTCCTGTCTGTTTTCTTCTCTTGTTGCTAGGACAAAATACCTGATACCCAAAATGAAAGAAAGAAAGGTTTACTTAGCTCATAGTCAGTGGAGGTTTCAGTTTCTGTACAGAGAGCAGCCATTCATAGCAGTGGCAAAGAGCAAGAGCAAAAGGATTGGCAGCAGTTTAGTCAGCTAGCCTCTTTCACTCCTTACATTGTAACACAGACTATCTGCCCCAGGGCACTCACACCCATAATCCCAGCACTGGATCAAGAATCGATCACAAACTCCAGAAGCCACCCTATGACTGCATAAGGCTTTAGGGGGACAACTAGATACAAACCATAACAATTCCATTTTTTTTTCCAGATCTTTTGAACAAATGGTCACCATGTTGAGATATTAGCTGTCACTTGTGAGTATGCCCACGTTTGAAAATGGCAGAGGGAAACAACAATGAAGAGGTAATTCACTTGAATAGTTTTCACTGCCAAAGGGGACAAGGTAAGTTGTTTGTTCTCACTTTCTCTTGTCCTTTGTTACTTTTTCATTTAATATTGCAGACAGTATCTTCTTTGAAATGAACCTATTATGCTCTGTTGAAAATTCAGAGACATTGAGTTTTTAGATGTCAGTACATCAGGCATGAAGGGACTTGTCAGACTCCATTTGTATCAGATAATGATAGCTACAGCATGAATGAAATTGAAGATTCCCCTATCACAGTAGATTAACTAGCCAGGATATAAGATGTGAATATGTAGTCATTGGACCTGAAGTTGTACACTGTGGAGGAGTGTTAGTTCTGCTTTTGCTGGAATGGTGATGGCACAGCCATGCTCCCAAGCCTGCTAAATGTATAGGTAGGTGCTGCTAAACATTCTGCTCTCTTTATTCTACATTTAGCTTTTTTCCCCCAGAAGATTCTGGTTTAGGCTTATGGAAAATTTTAGGGCATATTTTTGTTTGTTGTATAGTATCCAAAACTTTGGCAAGGGCTGGTGAGATGGCTCAGTGGTCTAAAACACCTACGTAGAACAAGCTAAGCTAAGCAAAGCACAGGGACCGCAGTTCAATCCCCCAGCACCACATGCCAGCCAGCCCTGCCCCCTGGTGGGCTGAGCTGGCCAAACACACGTTCACACAAA